CGACGGCACGACGCGACGCACGACGGCACGACGCGACGTGTGAAGGAGCGTCGCTTCCTCATGCAGTGTACGTGCTTAGAAACGGTAATTTAAGAGGCGACGGCACGACGCGACGGGCGACGGCACGACGCGACGCCACGACGCGACGGGCGACGGCACGACGCGACGGACGACGGCACGACGCGACGGTACGATGCGACGGCACGACGTGAAAGCACGACGCGACGCAGATTTGGCATCTATAGAACACCATACGTTGTGTACTCACGTCGCGTGTATGTTAAAGAGGCGACGCGGTGTGTCGTCAATAATTCCCCTTTCGTTGCCCGTTGCAGCGCACCGTCGTGCTTCGCGCCGTGCGTCGCCTCGTGCGTCGGATGGAGACGTCGCTGATTTAAGCAAGTTTTTCCCCTGGGGTTAACCCCACCTCGCTGGCTGTTGACGACTATAGCCGCGGCTTGAAGAAAGGCTATGTGCCGGGAGACGGCTAGATCCGCATTCCCGCACGTACACATTTCATTCATCATGCACATGTGGTTACTACAAGATTGAATTTTATAGAAACAGAAAGCTCGGTGAACACTTATTAGTCATGAAAAGCGAAATTATTCAGCAAAACCACTTATTAATCTTAGTTGAATAGTTGGGGTTTTTTTCGAGCACGGCACACGGGCTCACCAGGGCGGATCCCCTCTCCTCCCCCCCCCCCCCCCCCCAACGAACCCATTTATTTTTTAAGTGACTTCGCAATAAAGGCAGGCACTGCGTACACAACCATTAGCGTGTTAAAGTGGTCAGAAATTGCCTCAGATCGCACCGCAGAGCATCTGGATTCCCCCAAAAATTAGGGGCCCTTTATACGCTTTGTTGTTTGGGTTCCCCCCCCCCCCCCCATTGTGTTCTGGATCCGCCCTTGCAGTGTACGTGCTCGTTGTTCATGGACACGCTCGGTTGATCACATTGGGCTTTCCGTATGCATTATTGTGCACAGCGTATTACACGCATGCGTCCTCAGTGAAAACCGGCGGACAGGTGTCACGGTCTCACTTCTCCAGCGTGCTAGCTTCTCCGAGAGGGAAATTTCGCTTCAACACGCATACGCAAAATTGCGCAGTAGTGTACATTTTCGCCAATTTTATTGTGCGCAGTAGTGTACATTTTCGCCAACTTTTTTGGTGTGCTGAGTCTGGTGTTGTACTGGTGCACGTAAGATCTCGGGATATTTGTATGTATACGTTATTCACAGGGAACCAGTCGAATCCAGAATTTTCGTGGCGTGCGCAATAACCAAAAAGACCACGATTGAGCAAGGAGTTCGTTCTTAGTATTTATTCCCTCATGAAAACACACACATGACACTGGGAACACAAATCAGAATGCTTGCAAGACCATGGAATGACTTGACCCACAGGAAGTGTTACATAACTCATTCTTGGGTGTCCATCACTGTGTTATTAATGGACTTGGTAGACTTCACAACACAGCCCGAGGAAAAGTAAGCACAGTGGACTCATGAGCATGTATCGTGCTCATGTAACGTGCACTGTAACGTGCTCAATTATCCGCCGAATCCAACCGGGACGGGAAGCTAGCACACCGGAGAAGTGAGACCGTGACACCGGTAAAGGTATCGAAAAACTATACCATCCAGGAGGAGTTTTAAGCACGCTTTCTTACTGCTAAAGCCCGCCGCACACGCGTACGATAGCTACCCTACGCGCTGAGCTACGGGCTGAGCTAAAAGATTAAGTGACCAATGAAAGCACAATATTCTTGTCTGTCGGTCGCGTGATTTAAAAAATGGGGACAAACGCCAACAGGCTTTAGAAGATTTGCACAAAAATATCTGAAAATTACGTATACAGAGTACGTGATTTCATTGGCTATAATCTTTTTAGCTCAGAAGGTACCTCGGGTTGACCGCATACGGTGAGTTTTTCACCTCGCGTGGCAAAAGAATTCAAAAAGGATAGATATTTCCCTCACGGCCTCGCGAGCAAACAAATCACCGAACACGGGGATATTTTGTAAACTTCGGGCTGAGCAAACAGCCTCGAATGACTTTTTGCTCAGGACGTAGCTCTCGTGTGCGGCGGACTTTACGGCCTCTATGCCATAAACGGAGGCTGGGTAAGCACAAAATCGGCTGTTAAGCAGCGGATTGCCCATGGGCGGAAAGTACTTTTTGAGCCGTGGCATGAATTGGAGCAATAACGAATGCCACGTGATGTGAGTTCCACCAATCAAATGACAAGGATCTGTATGTCGGTTATATGAAAAACAAATAATGAATGTTTCGCATTCGTGCAATGGTGATAATCGTGGAAAGATGGAATGTTCCATTCAACTCGGCTTCGCCTCGTTGAATGGAACATTCAATCTTTCAACTCATGAAAATATTCTCACCATTGCACTCATAAACATTCATTATTTGTATACTATTCAATGAAAATCACTTCACCTTGTCGCTCTGATTAATGGCTCTGGTATATTGCGTAAGTAAAAAGTTCGAGCGTGGCCTGATATTCACTCCGTTAATCTCAGCCGGGGGGGCGGTCCCCGTAAGATCTCGGCCATTGAGTGACGAACAATTTTGAAACTCGGTACATGCATAGAACAACTCTTCATGAACATACCCAAGAAATTTCATGACTATAGGTCAAAGGGTTTTTGGAATTATGGCTAATTAATTATTCATATGTACGAATGGTAATTCTGGTCCGTGTACACGACGTATATGGGAAAATTCAGTTTTCACGGCGCGTAGCGCAGGAAAAATTTTCGCTGCGCGACAACCCCTTGTCCGATTTTTATATTTTTGGTGTCAAAAGATGCGCAAGGCTCGAGGCTAAAAATTCATAACAGCTCGGGACGCGAAAAAAAAATTGTTAAAGGCTATCGCGGAAAAAGTCGAGGGGGGGTCAGTTTCCGCCCCCGGCCCTTTTAGGGTTAACAACTGACGTGGCATGTGGCTAACTTTGACAGCAGAAAAAAAGTTATTGTGTCCGAAACTGATTCATGCAATTCGTGGGTGTAGAGTACAGTCTACTTCTTTTCTTTTCACTGGCATGTAAATATGGGTCTCAGGCTATATTATGGGCAATTTCTTCCGAGGTTGAGGCCTTGACCAAAACTGAAGGGACAGTCCTCGAATTGAAATTCAGTTGTGTTTGACCATGCAATCAGCTCTCACCTTTTTGGGGTGATTTATGTGCGACTACACGACTTATGGAGACCAACACGTTGCTGTACAACATAAGGACCAAGTGTTGCAGTGCTCATGAAAAACTGTTGATCTCTTTCACAACCTGAACGAAAATTTAGCCCATTTTTTGACACGATCAATAGCTACTTCTCCTGCACGCCATATTATAGCGTGTAATCAGCGAAAACAATACAAGCCCCGTTACTTAATATAGTTCACGTCTTTATTAAAGAAATAAAGCAAATCAAACAAGACGTAAACTATCTAAATACGATTTATTCGAATGAATTTTCAATTCATGTAGATTAAGGATATGCAATAAGTTGGGCAAGGTTTATCTCCACAATAACTTGCTCGTCGAGGAATATCACCCGGTAGCGATTTAAGCATCGTAAAATTATTAAGCTTCGTACAATTATTTAAAAGTTACCAAAAAGTTCAAGCGGTTGCAAAAGGTCTATTTGAAAGATTTAAAAATTATGACAAAATTTGTAGCAGTAAATGAAGTTGTTTTTATTAAAGAACGTTTGTAACGAAGGCTTAATTGTAACGCAAACAACATCACAGACGCCACCTAAACTGCAACATGTCATCTGTTAAGGATTTCCGCTAAGTTGATTTACTATAACGGCTAATGATACCTTTACATGAAGAGTTATGTTGTTGTGATCTAATTCAGCCCTCTTTTGTCAGTTTTATTCGCAGCATGCCTTGTATAAAACACAACTACTTATAATTATGATCTGGCAGAGATTGGCGAAAATCTGTCGAAATATTTTAAGTGTAAACTCAAAACCAGCGGCGTAGCCAGGGTAATTCTCACACGGGGGAGTGGGGGTAGGGGGCTGGATGTTACTGTGGGGCGCCCACTTTCTGTTAAACCATTAACCATGGTGATACACATTTCCAGATTGTTTAGAGGGAGCGTGCCCCCATGCCACGCACCCGTCTACGCCGCTACTCACAACGTTGTACCTAAATTACCGATAAGAACCTGTTTACAGTACAAATAGAAGTATAGGCTACTAAAAGCAAACTTTATAAAAAGCAAGCAGATGATGAAAATATTAACACCTTTTTGTTAATAAAAAGCATGCTGATGATACTCATTATTTGTTTCTCTGTACACACGATTTTTCCTTATGACTTGGGGGAATCAAATAGGCTAGCAATGCTCAAAACAATTGTGCAAGTTTCAAGCTACATTAAACGATCTTGAATAGGATCCCTTGTCTTTGGGACCATCGAACTGCAGCAATTGAGTAAATGATAACATAAGTCGTCCTATAATTCATGGGCGTCGCAGTGTTTTGTGCTTGTGCATGCCCACCTCATCCCCCTAAAGGTACGAGACCATTATTTCCTATATGATGCCTCTCACGAAGAGCTGGATCGAGGTTGTAACTACTGCACTCTATCGGCGATTCCCAGAAACGTCGACGAAGTGAAGTGATATTCACAAATTGTAACCTTCAGTTGTCACATCAAAGTGCATCTTAACTTAAATTTCAACAGGTGGATTATTTATTCATGTCACACAACGTGTTTATCAGGAAAAAAAGTAAGTTATCAAAAAAGTTTTGAATGAATTAGCCCTCGGGCGGAAGTGGGAATTTTTCTACGATTACAGGAAATTTCGGGAGTACGTTCAAACAAATTATTTTCTTTTATTCAATTCTGTCATACTTGTGGGTAGGGTTCACAAAAATACAGCAATGAAATCGTTTCAAAACGTTTCAAAATGGTATTCAGGTAAACATTCCCCTAAATATTTGTTTTATCTATAGACATTCCCGGCCCCTTCCCGTTAAAATTGAGTCAAACGTTTTTAATGTTTATCTACGCTCACCTAGACCAATTCGTTTTGATTTCCGAGCGAAACAGTAATTACATTCTAAAAAAGATATATCTATTTTAACTCAACGCCTCGTCATCCTTGTTTGTAAAACATAAATTATGTGGTTGCTTTCTAAAGCGTAGTACATTATAATGAAGCAATTATACGTTAACATAACAAATCGTATGACAAATACAACACTTAAATAATTCCTTTTATTACAGCAATTACATGAATGTTCTTTGCATATGAATTAAAAAAGAAAGCGCAAAAAGAGTAAATTCTAGTCTTAAGCCTTTACTCGTAGATCGCCAAGCCAAAATATTAAAAGTGACAGCTTTGAGATACACATGTACTCTCTTTTTAACCTTAGACGGTAATTTTACCAATCCATAGATTCCTCTTTCGGGTCGTACTTGGGGCTGTTCTCAGAGTAGAACTGGGCGAAGAATCGGCGATGTTTCGCTATCAGATGATCCTCCTTCACAAACGGGGGGTTACGAACGTACTTCTTGTTGGCCCACACCGGAAGGTCACCCCAAATCTAGCAGAGGTAATCATATTATCATTAATTTCGAGGCAGGCAGTATATATGATGGGGAAGGCATCCCGACTGGCGAACATGTAGTGGGGATGGTGAAGCAAGGCTTGTTTGGGTAGATTAACAGGCAGCAGGATGAAGCAGGCCGGTGTAGAGGTAGGTATGGTAGCCCGTTCGCTATGAGGTCCGGACAGGACCATGTTTAATTAGTCTTAATAATGCATGTACATGTATCTGATTCAATTTATGCTGGGAACTTGTTGGAGTACAGGGTGAGTCAAAAAATCGAAACCCAAATGTCGGGACAATTGTTTAACTGAAGTTCTGCATGTAGTACTTTCAAAATCAAGGATATGAAAGCCCCATTCATAAGCTTTCTTTTAGTACAAGAGTCATTCAAATCACATGTACTTTTCAAGTTACGGAGTTTTAAACGCAACCACCGTTTTAAAGTTCTGGCCACGGATCACACAAAAGGTGTGTGTTCTTTCAGCAAAACGCCAATTCACACACATCCTTTATTTGTTTTCGTGTTGCTGAGAGAACACTGAACTTTTTTGTGATCCGTGGACAGAACCTTAAAACGGCGATTGTGTTTAAAACTCCGTAACTTAAAAAGTACATAAGTGATTTGATTGATTCTTGTACTAAACGAAAGCTTATGAATTTGGCTTTCATACCCTAGATTTTGAAAGTGCTACATGCAGAACTTCACTACAAAAATGGTCCCGACATTTGGGTTTCTTTTTTTTAATCGCCCTGTATATCCTAGGTTGATTTCATTATTTGTTTTTTGTACTCTGCGGCTCTTGATTCATTTGACTTGTACAACAAGAAGCGAGAGTGGATCAATGTGGCTCCACAATGCTGGTCCTAAAGGAACACATACCAATGGGCCAATGATCTTCTCGCCAAAATGAGACGCAGTGATGACCTGCGTGTGAACTATGGTGATCAAGTGGAAGGGTAGACACGACAGCAGGCCTACGGGAAGTGAATGACAAGTAAGGGCTGACATGGCTGAGGAGGAGGAGTGGCGATAGGCGCGGTTAATTGGGAGGGGAAGGCGGAATTCTAACCTGGTAGTACTGTTCATACAAGGCCTTCTTGCCAATGTAGAATGAGATGGGTCCTCTCCGGGTATACCCAGTGGTCACAATCCTCTGTCGCATGGGTCCAGCAGGAGTGACGGTTAAGACCAATTGTAGCTCACCCAGCAGGGGACTGTCCATGTGGAAATGGGCGAAGCAGGGTCCTATCTGTCATGATCAATCAATATGCGAAACAGCATTTTATGCCTGTTTCCGATTAATTACCCTGTATAATAATTACACGGTTCGCTCCGCAAGCTTCAATATAAATATTAATATGTACACCAACGGATAACATTTTGGGTTCAGTTTAATTCACGAATATGGCATATTTTATTCGTCCTTGTTTCTATCGATTCATCTTACGTGGATGTCGACATTTGGCTTATATTATACAGCAGCTTACAGGTCCTAGTATCCCCCTTTTTATACTTTTTTTCATAAAGTTATATTCCGAACATCGGGATTGGTTTTACAATGAGCCTGATGTGGGAAAGTTCTCTACTCATACCTGCTCGATATGGAAGGTGTTTGCCGGCAGGTTGAGCAGATTAAAAAAATACGGGGGTTTGGTGGACATACGAAGTACAGCCACATGCTTGTCGGTAGGGTGTGGCTCCCAGCTGACGTCGGTAAAGTGGGCCTGACCAACGAAAGCCCTCCTGTCAGGGAAAGGGAAACATGATATTTACTTTACGAAAATCTAAATGGAAATTACGTTTTAAGTTTTGGAAGTTTTGTCACAGGAGCGAGGCCTCTCGACTTCGCTTGCTCCATCCGCCTCTATCCAAAGACATGGTAACCAGTTTCCTTGTGCTATCGTTGCATAGTCCGACCGCTGCCGTTAGGCTCCTCTTTAACAACTGGTGCCTAGACTACAATCAGACGGCGATATTGTCTTGGAACACTAAAGTTAGCAAATTTGCTAACATGGAAAATGTCTGATATCAGTGAGAAAACCCTGTCTTCCTTTCAGGACGGATGATATAGCGAGTGCCCTTTTAACATCCAACCCCCAATCAAAATGACCTTGCTATATACGCCCTTGAACATTCAGTGTTTTGTGAACTATATTAAACTGCGTTTCCTGAACAGGTTTTCGTGAAAGGGATTAGCGGTCACAAGCGCCTTTGGATAAGGCGGTACATAGAAGAATTCCGGGGTGACTCAATAAGAAATTAACCTTGACTAATGTTTTTTTTACACAAGCAATCAAGGTTGATATACCGATGAGATTATGTATTAAAAGAACATAAGAACTCATGTGAAAAAAAATCATTGAAATTAAACCATGCTCCCAATGGTTATGCATGTATTACCAAAGCCATGTTTACAGCTATGTCCACGGAATGCCATTTTGAAGCTCTGCGCAGTTCGGTGTCAGTACCAGAGATTTACACACATGCATTCAATTTCAAATGCGATTTTAAGAAACTAACTGAGTTAAGATTAAAATATTATTTTTACTGCCAGATTTGGTTTTGTAATGAGCAATTAATCAAGTAGCTTTTTTACTGCAATGAGAATGATGTTTTTGTTCACTGTTTTCCTTCGAAACTTTTCGTTCATAATTTTTAAAGGGTATTCATCAATGTGTAGGGTGGGGTAAGGGTTAAACGTCCTTACTCGCAGCTGAGAAGCTGCCGTGCGAAGGACGAGGCTACAACGTGACCGAGCCGAAGGAATGTAAAGCAGCAACGAAGCTACGGGGGGCCGTTGGCGGGGGGAAGGGGGCTCAGTCTCCCCATAAAAAGTTCACGCCCCAGGTGCCCCCCCCCCCCCCACCTGGAAATTGACATCCCGAGAAAAGCACAGCCGTATGAGTTACCATGATTAGCTGGAAGAAAATGAGTCCCCTTTTCCGCGATTTTTTTCCGCTTTATGTAGCCAAATTCCCATATTTTCCCATTTGACCCGTTCTATGTATTAGATAAGTTTGATTATGTTCCGGCAATAAAAAAAAATAAACAAATCTCAGTGTGTTGGGTGATTACCCTTTAAGTGAACCCTTAAGTTAAAAGAAAGTTGGCATTGGATACTTCGCACAATGTTTGCATTGGTAAATTTCATGCTAAAAAGCTTTGTTAATATACACCTTTTTCCGCGTATCCAATATGGACGCACTTGCCGTCTTCTCCCCGGTATCTCCAGCCATGGAAGGGACATTCGATGCATTCACCGTGCACTGAGCCACCTATGGCCAGATTGGCGCCTAGATGAGCACAGTAGGCGTCAACGACGTAGGGCCGCCCACTTTCTCCTCGGAATACCACCAAGTTCTTACCTAGAAAATGCGAGGGAGCCGGTACTTAAATGACCAATAATAATGACAAGTGTATACCTTGCTTGACGTTGTGGCATCACTTAGTTTGCGTGGGGTGAGTCTCCATATAATTCATTTATTTCAACTTAGGTTAGTTTTTCAGTTGGCCTACCAGCAACGGCAACGAATATGTGCTCCTTCTTCTTCAATTCAGACAACATCAGGATAGACATCCAGCCATTCGGGTAGACAGGGGGAACGTCTCCGACCTTCCGACATCTCTTCAAATCCCTCACTCGTTCCTCAGCCGATTTGCCGTCGGCTGGGCCGTCCACTAAATACGTATATTTGGTCTCGTCGCAGTAGAGTGCCAAGGGCTCAGTCACCGCCTTGTACAGCTGAACAGCAAAGTAAGTCAGCACGGCAGCAAGTCCGTAGACAAGAAGAAACTTGAAGCCAGAACTGTGGACGACTTGGTTGATTTTCTCAGAAACAACCTCAGCTGAAATGTTGGCATTCTGCACGTGATTAGCGAGCTGCTTAGCTGAATCTTCAATGATCGGAGGACGGGTGACGAAATCTGCCAGGAAGACCGGCAGGATGAAGGATAAAACTCCAGCTTTTGAGACGGCCATATCTAACTGAACCTATCAAACATGGTATGGGTATGCGCCTAAACTGATCGCTAAGCGGCAGTGTCTGATTTTAAGGTCAGCGTTATATTGAGTGGCCACCTCAGTTATCTTTGATCGTTAATGGGACCAACAAACTTTAGGCCAGACAAAAATTGACTACTATTTTCATCTTGCCACGCATCGATTTCGATACTGTTGGTTTTAGTTGTACTGGCTTCTGTGAATATAGGCTTCACAGATAATGTGTGCCGTACAGTGTCATTAAAAAGACCACTATAAAATTGTGAAAGCACGACAGCTTATGAACATCAGGCAGGCTTCTAGCGCACTTTGAAGACTACGTATTTCATCGACCTTAACCCTAAAAGGGCCAGAGGGTGGAATCCGCAACCCCCCCCCCCCCCCACCCGTTCAATTTTTCCCGCGATACCCAAGCTTTCCTGACTTTTAAGCCTCGAGTCTTGCGCATCTTTTGATACCAAAAACATAAATTCCGAGCATGGGTAAGCGCGTAGCGAAAATAATTTCGGCGCTATACGCGCGGCAAAAACTGAATCTCCCCATAATGTACACAAAGCAGAATTACCATTGGTGCATATGAATAATTAATTAGCCATAATTCCAAAACCCTTTAACCTGTAGTCATGAAATTTCTTGGGTATGTTCATGTTAAATTGTTCTATGCATTCACCGAGTTTCATAATTGTTCGTCACTCGATGGCCGAGATCTGAGGGGGTTGGGGGTTGGGGGGTGGTCAATTACTACCCCCTACGCACGTAGGTCACTTGCTAATGCATATTTATTTAACAGTTTTGGTGCTGAGTTGGTGGGTGCCGAGTTGACAAGGTGCCGAAATGACCGGTTACAGTACAGTGGAGCCCTACCTTGACATCATAAAAAAAAATGGGCTTGTAGCAGATGTTCCCTGCGGCTTTGGTTGTGCTTATGGCTTTCAGCAGGGGGGGGGAGCGTTTTAACTTTTATTTTGTTCGGAGTCAACATTTATTGAGATAATTTCATCGAGACTTACATAATACATTTTAATGTTTTGATTTGAGATGTACAATTGCCGATGAAATAGCAACGCAAAATGGTGATTAGGCGACTTTTTTCCGAGCTGCATACATACGTATCGCGTGGATGGACCATTTATAATGGTACCGATAAATGAATAGTCTGAGTATCTTCCGTTGTTCAATGGAGCCCTCTCCGTAATCAACGTGTGATACATTTATCTGATCGAGCAAATGCTTAAGCGACCCCAAGCGCCAGCCAATCGAAGTTGACTGTAAAGTTGTGACGTCATTTTGATTAGAAACGTAGATTAAGCTGTTGATTGGTTAATTTGACTGCTATGTTTTTGTAATACTACAGCGGGTTATACCCGCTAAATGGTCAGAATCTTGAGGCCAAGACGCAGTCTTGTTTTGCATAATTAATCGCCGAATCTGCTCGCATATCATAGACCCTTGCTGTGCAAGGGGGTATCCCATAGACCAGTAACTGGGGTGCTAGAACTCCTTTGATTAGGTGTCGTCCAACGGGTCACAGAAGACTCGATATTATAGGCGCCCGCTGAATGGTCAGAATCTCGAGTTCAAGACACAGTCAAGTTACATAAATCGCCGAATCTGCTTGCATATCATAGACCCTTGCAAGGGAATATTCCACAGACTAATAATGAGGCGAGCTAGGCCGAAAACCCAATCTCACAACACGTGTCAGAGGCGTAGCCAGCGAGGGATTCCTTTGTAAAGACTGCCCTTTATCATTCAAGTTCCCCCTTTTTCACCAGTGTCCCCCCCCCCCACCAATATATCCAATGAGTACCCTCCCCCCTCTTTTTTGTTTAACAAGTGCCCTTGTTTTCAGGGGTTATTTTAAGTGTCATTTGGGGGTTAAAAAAGTGCCCTTTTTTTACCAGTGGCCGTTACGAGTGACGGTTTAATCAACGCTAGCTTCCCACTTTTTTTCATTTTTTTTTACAATATTACTAGGAAACTAATTTAATCATTATTTGTTTTCCCTAAAACAAATCTCTACAACTAGCATTGTTCTAAATTATTTCTGGCGCAGTTGTATGGGGGGCCTGGTCCAACAAATCTCCACTTTTTTGTTATATTTTTAACAAATGGGTGTTCTTCTAGCTTAGTGTTTCTCCCCCACTACTCCCTTTATTCTCTCACTGCCCCAAATTATTAACACTATCGGCTAACCATTTTAATCACCTAAAAACTTTACTCTAGAGGCGCGTTTTCTGAAAGTTAAAAGTCTAGTCATCGCTCTAATATTTTTCTTATCATAATAACAGTTCTTAAATCTTACAGTCTTAAAAGCATTAAGACTTGTTTTTGAAGTTTATAGATGATCACAATTAAAGTTGTTCCTTTGAATGGAGAAATAAACATTTGCATTAAGTGTTCGGCTTTAGTTGAGGCCACATGTACTGTATATGCGATAAATACAACGAGAAAATGCCAGCAATAATTTACCTTGAACTGTCAAAGTACTAATATATGTTGTTTTGCACACAAAGTTTGACCTCGCAGTGAGGTTACCGTGATTGTTGGTATCGGGTTTTTTTGTGCGACTATACAAGTTACAGAAACAAACAACTTGCTGTATAAAAAGAGGACCATGAATGCCGCTGTGCTGTTTGGTGTTCAATGAGACAGCTATGAGGGCCGACTTTTGTACTACATGTACCACGAAGAGACAACATCTGACGACTGACGCGAAATCAGCAATGGCCATCCCACAAACTTGTCTCCGACGGTGGCATTGGGTGATCACGCTGGCAACATTCACGCTGTATTTCCTCGTTCTTGGACCGATGTTCAATTTCAGCATATTGTATTTAAGTCTTCAGGGCGAATTCAAGTCCGCTGCGGCAATAACAGGTACAAATCCAATTTTGTTTTCTTTTAACATCCAAGCAGCAAGGCACACAAACTTTAAATCCCTCTCTCTCTTTAATAGCGTTTTGTTCGGACGAAATGACCCATCAGGCTTGATGATAAAATATTTTGGTTCGGTCTTAGTATTGAAAAAGGTGTCAAACAAATTTGATTTTGTGTTAGCCTCTGGAATTCTCTTAGACCCCCTTTACACAGGGTTGCGGCTTTTGGGCCTCCCTTGTGCGACCATAAAACTAGTCAGGTCGCCGTTGGAGGCTCAAAGGAGGCGAATGGTTGCCTAGGTCGTTCAAAGGTGATACACAGGATGTTCAGACATCGCCATGGTTGCCATGGTCGCCGTAAATGTTTGAAAATTTGGATGGATGCACAATGGTCGGCCAATGGTCGCCACGTAATAGATCCGTTCTGTTGCAGACTTTACCGTCAATCTGGGCGATATGCTTCTGCCTCCCTTGTGCCTCCTTTGGCCGACCAATAGCGTGCATTGAACGATGACTGTGGTGGCCGATGTGCCTCCATTTCGGCGTTGGTTGCCGTAGGTTGCACAGGGGAAGCACAGGGGAGGCAGGCAAGTGGCTAATAAGTGGACGCACAAGTCGCTCGTAGCTCGACATGAAAATGCCCGAAAATTGCAGTTTTGGTGGTTCAATGGAGGCAAAAAGATCGCTGGAGCAGTTACATAGAAACAGGATTTTGTGGGTTTAGGCGACCATTGAGCGTCTTGACCATTTTGGTCGTTCATAGCTGGTACAAAGGTCGCAGCCCTGTGTAAAGGGGTCCTTATACTGACATATAATTGATATATGCGTAAATTTTCCATGGAGCTGAATTGAAGAAGAAAAATGTCAAGTATTTTAGTGACCAAAATGGCATCTAATTTGAGACAACGATGTTTCTTGGAGTCGTATGATAATGTATGTTCTTTAATTATGCAAATTCTTTGTATACATTTTGTGTGCAACATAATTGCCATTGACAGGTTGGTTGGGGTCTTTATCGGCCGCCTTAGCCCGACTCTTCAGTCCCGTCACCGTTCTGCTCGAGCAGAGGCTAAGCAAGAGGGCAGTCACGCTGATTGGGCTCGTGTTGTACTGCACAGGACTGTTGACGACGTCATTCGTACCGGCCCTAGGCTACGCCTTCATAACGTACGGAGTCCTATCGGGTGTTGGCGCCAATCTCACGCTTCATTCATCGCTTCAACTGTTGCTGGAATGGTTTGCGAAAGGCAACTTCGCCCGTGCGAGTGCAATCGCTTTGTTGGGATCCACGGGCGGTATGTGCATGGAATTGAACATTTTTTATATATATGTTGACAAATCCGCTTGTGTACAATCAAATTTGACTTTAGTATTCGATTTAAATATCCACTGATTATAAAAAAAAAAAAAAAAATGAAGAAGAAGATGCCACTGTTTTTTTTTTTTTTTGGGGGGGGGGGACATTATCAAATAAAACCGGGTATTGATTTTCAAATATCACAAATCATTGGGAGAAGGTACATCTTTTTTTAAGAGTGAATTTTATTTGGTTTCTTCCAACGTGCAGGTTTGCTCGCCTTCAGCCCATTACTGACAGTACTTATAACTAACTATGGGTGGCGCAATGCACTGAGAGTTCTCAGCGGAGGGATATTCGTGGTGGGCATCGCCGACGGATTGCTTCTGACCGATCCCCCGACTACAGAGGACATCTTCCCGCGGCAAAATAGATCCGAGGACACGGAACAGAATGAACACGATATGCAAAACGTACGGAAACGGGAACGGGAACGGGAACGGGCCGACGAGAGTTGTAAACAGGAGAACGAGGGAAAGGAAAGGACTGAGCTGCTAGATGACGCCATCGTGTCAAGCCACGAGGGTTCAAATACCAAGCCCGATTGGTGTGAAGTGTGGAGAATGATGCAAAGTCTGGAGTTATGGTTGTGGTCTGTTGCCAATTTCCTCACGTTCTTGGGATGGACATTTTTCGACATCAATTTTGTAAGTAGCATATTTACAGCCATTTAAAAAAATCTTTGTGCATCCTCAACTGAAGAAATCACACGGGATTGTTCCATTTTCCACCAAAATTGTGCAATAACTTTCCGTGGTACTTATTTACTGTTTACTAAAGTGCGCATGACAAAATGAATTCTTTAGAGAAAACAACATATGCAAACTTGTGACAAATGCATTTGGATTTAACAATATTCGCCCCT